TCATGTATTACAGAAATAGCACACATGAATTTCAAAATTCATGGTCACCAGAAGAAAATGTGATTCCTTTTTTAAGTTGAGAGAGGGAGGGACAGAGAGAGAAGGAAGATGGGAAGGAAGGAGGGAGGGAGAGAGAAGGAAGGAGGGAAAGGGGTGGAGAGAGAGGCAGAGGTGTGCTGCTATCCACTTCTTACTTCCCGAATGCCTGCAATGGCCAGGACGTCTCTGAACCGAAGTCTGAATCCAGCAGCAAGAAATACAACCCAGGGCTCTCAAATGGGAGACAAGAAACGAAATACTTCAGTCATCACCGCTGCCCCCAGGATCTGCATCAGCAGGAAGCTGGAGTCCAAAGCCAGAGCTGGGGGTGCAAGCCAGCCACTCCAGTGTGGAGCATGTGGGTTTTAGCTGTTAGGCTCCACGGCTTCCCCTAAACTTATGTTCAAATTGCATTTTCCATGTTCAAGATCACTAGCAATCAGGGAAATGCAAATCAAAACCACAATGAGGGTTCACCTCATCCCGGTTAGAATGGCTCACATACAGAAATCTACCAGCAACAGATGCTGGCGAGGATGTGGGGAAAAAGGGACACTAACCCACTGTCGGTGGGAATGCAAACTGGTAAAGCCACTATGGAAGTCAGTCTGGAGATTCCTCAGAAACCTGAATATAACCCTACCATACAACCCAGCCATCCCACTCCTTGGAATTTACCCAAAGGAAATGAAATTGGCAAACAAAAAAACTCTCTGCACCTCAATGTTTATTGCAGCTCAATTCACAATAGCTAAGACATGGAATCAACCTAAATGCCCATCAACAGTAGACTGGATAAAGAAATTATGGGATATGTACTCTATAAAATACTATACAGCAGTAAAAAACAATAAAATCTAGTCATTTGCAACAAAATGGAGGAATCTGGAAAACATCATGCTGAGTGAAATAAGCCAGTCCCAGAGGGACAAATATCATATGTTCTCCCTGATCAGTGACAACTAACCGAGCACCAAAAAGGAAACCTGTTGAAGTGAAATGGACACTATGAGAAACAGTGACTTGATCAGCCCTTGCCCTGACTGTTGATGAACAACTTAATACTTAATCCCTTTTAGTATTTTTTTTTGTTCTACTTAATACTATTGGTTGAACTCTGTAATTAATACACAATTATTCTTAAGTGTTGAAACTTAACTGAAAAGTGATCGCTGTTAAATATAAGAGTGGGAATAAGAGAGGGAAGAGATATACAATTTGGGACATGCTCAACTGGACTTGCCCCAAATGGCAGAGTTAGAAACGTGCCAGGGGATTCCAGTTCAATCCCATCAATGTGGCATGTACCAATGCCATCTCACTAGTCCCAATGATCAATTTCTGTTCACAATTGATCATAATGATAGGACTAAGAGCCAAAGGGATCACATAAACAAGACTAGTTTCTGCAAATACTAACTAATACAATAAAAAAGGGAGAGAATGATCCAACATGGGAAGTCAGATACACAGCAGACCCATAGAATGGCAGATGTCCTAAACAGCACTCTGGCCTCAGAATGAGCCCTTAAGGCATTTGGATCTGGCTGAAACGCCCAGCAGAGTATTTCAGGCATGGAAAGCCAAGACACTGTGGCAAACAAACAAACAAACAAAAAAACAAAAAAAAAAACTAAATGAAAGATCTCTGTGAGTGAGATCCCAGTGGAAAGAACAAGTCATCAAAGAAGGAGATACCTTTCTCTGAAGGGAGGAGAGAACTTCCATTCATTTGAGTTCTGATCAGAACTCAAAAGGCCTCCATAGCTTTGGCAACTCATGGCAAGAGCCTAGGGTGATTACTGATGCCATAAACAAGAGTGTCAATTTGTTAACAACAGGAGTCACTGTGCACTTACTCCTCATGTAGGATCTCTGTCCTTAATGTGCTGTACATCGTGATTGAATGCTATAACTAGTACTCAAACAGTATTTTTCACTTTGTGTTTCTGTGTGGGTGCAAACTGTTGAAAGCTTTACTTAATATATGCTAAATTGATCTTCGGTATAAAAAGATAATTGAAAATGAATCTTGATGTGGATGGGAGGAGAGAGGGAGCGGGAGAGGGGAGGGTTGCGGGTGGGAGGGAAGTTATGGTGGGGGGAAGCCATTGTAATCCATAACTTGTACTTTGGAAATTTATATTCATTAAATAAAAGTTAAAAAAATAAAGAAGAGATAAAAAGATAAAAAATTGCATTTTCCATAAACCTTTTGAAGTCTCCTTGTGTGTTAACATTAGTACTGATGGCCTGTGATTTTGGCAAAAAAAATATAAATAAATAAACATGGTACATGAAAGATCAAAGTCTGGGAGATAGGGGCTTAGAATTAGGTGAGAGTCGGTGTTGCAAGCAGTGATGCAGCTTAAACTGTGGCTGATTCACAGAAGGGAGAAGCCTCTTTAGGGCAGAGGCAGGGGCCTACACCTGATGCCCAACTTTGTCCAGGATCAATGGGGAAGCAAGGGGAAGGTCATTTTATTCTTTAACCGCTTCAATTTTGTCTACGATGGCATCAACTGCTGAATTAAAATATACAACAAGTTCAAAGCCTGATTTCAGGAACCAGCCACTGACTATGGAGGAGTACCTCCTCTTGACGGCCACTCAGTGTTTGTTTCGCAAGGATCAATTATCCACCACGGCTAATGCACACTTGGAAGGTGCGCCCAGCCACAGTCCAGGTGGTGCATGCAAAACACACACCGAGAGTCCTTTTCAGCAGCTAAATGCATGCTCCATTAGGGATCCATAATGTAGAATGCACACGCATCGGCAAATGGATTTAGAGTGAAGAGTTCTTAAATGGCCGGGGTACTTAGTTCTGAAAGGCCAGTAGCTGGATGTGCAGTCAGAGCACACATGGTTTTTAGGATTAATAATACATCGATGTGTGTCAGGGTTAATACACATTTACAGCTCACAGGCTGTGCAGCTGACTGCTCAGCCCATTTGCAGCCACACAGAAGAGGACTACTCTGTCCTCCCCCTCATTAATGCCTTTACTCCCAGGAAAATTAGATTACGCAAGAAAAGCCATTCCAACCACACTGAGGTTTTCCTCGCTGTCCAGCCTTCTCTGGGAAACCCACTTGACACGGCCCTGCCCGCTCAGAGTCTGAGCGAGGCCCTGGTGGGAGCTCCAGTCGTTATGCCCCGTGGTCACGCTGCCTCGTGTCGCCATGCCTTTGGACAGTGCGTGCTGGGGCGGCAATGCAGCCAAGAGAGGTGCTCAGGGGGCTTCTTGCTTTTTCTTCTTTTCCTATCTGACAAGCTGACCAAACCTTCCACTGCGCCGTGTGGCACAGGAGTTGCCTGCTGCCAGTGTGTAGAATTTCAAGGAAAAAAAAAAAAGCCCCATCCACTTTTAAAAAAAATTTAATTCATTAATGAATTGGAGAGGTAGAGAGAAAGGGGCAGGGTGGGGGAATGAATGAGGGAGAAAGAGAGAGAGAGATGGAGAGAGAGCATTCTAATCTGCTGGTTCATTTCCCAAATGCTCGCAACAGCTAGGGCTAGGCCTGGGCTGAGGCTGGCAGCTGGGCAGCAGGTACTCAATTGCTTGAACCATCAGCACTGCCTCCGAGGGTTGTATCAGCTGCGAAGCTGGACAGGAGGCAGAGGGGGACACTGAGCCCAGTGACTCTGATTTGCGTCACACGTGTCTTAATCACTGGGACAAATGCTCAGCTCCCTCCCGCCCCATGAAATAAGGAAAATAATTGAAATATTATTTTTCTGAGCAACCATGGTAAGGGTGAGAGAAGAGCAATGCCACTCAGCACTTACAGATCTATTTATTAATTTTCCTCTCTGAATGCCAAGGCAGGAGGGTCTTTCGATGAAGAACACACACAGTAATGGAAGGATTATTCAGATAAAGTAAAATATAAATTAGTACATAATAACCTGAAACCTTTTGAGGCCTTCAGCGCACCCTGCGGAGAGCTCTGTGGAGCTGTTGCCCACAGTCCTCATGATGTACCTGTGAAGTGACGCCCCACGTCTTAGGTGAGATGGCCAAGGTTCAGAAGGGAGCAATCACTCAGCTCAAGGTTACGGAGCTGGGGCTGGCGCATAGGACTGCTTTGCTCCTCCACAAGGACTCTGAACTTCCCATTACTCCTTTTTCAGGTTGGGACGTGGCCTACTGGTGGGTGAAGAATCAGTGTGGCAGGTCACAACCAGTGATTTAAATAAGTAATTAAAAAAATTGACAGGAAAGAGCCAGGGAGTAAAAGTAAATGCTATGTTGTTAAAATTTGTATCTTTTTTTCTGTTTGTATTTGTGTAGGCAGAAAGGTGTGTGTGGATGTACGTGTGTGTGTGCTGTGAGCATGTGTGTGTCACGTCCATACTGTGATGCGCCATACAGCCCCATGAAGGTCACAGTGAAGGTCTCTTGCAAGCTAGGTGCACTGTCCCTAAATGCCCTGTTCTTATGAGAGTCATTGTTTTCTTTTTCCTATTACCTTTCCCCCAACAATCCCAGAGCCCCAACCATCCTATGCAAAGCACTGGAGATACATTAATAATACAATTTAAAACCGATTCCATCAAGATAAATAGCACTTCCTAGATTAAGAGTGTAGCTGGCCAGAATGAATGAAATTTACTAACCCAGAGATGCTTAATCTTCCATTACACAGAAGTTAATGATGATAAGAAAGGAGTGATGGTAATTCACTTCTGCTTTTACAGGAAATCCGACCATTGCATTTTTCGCAAATCTTTCTTCTGACCACACCTCAGTGCCAAGGATAACTGTCCCTCCCCTGCAGGTATGGTGGCCAGTGGTCATATATCAAAGCCTACTCTGCCAGAAATTTAGACCTTGTAGCTCACACGGGAATTGGTAGATGTCCAGGTGGAATGTGTTGGGAAGGCAAGTGGGGTGCCCCTTCTCTCTCGCGCGCGCTCTGGGAAGCCTGTGGTAGCAGGGAACGCGTGTCACTTACCTTTAGAACAGTCTGCTCCTAGAAACCCTGGGAAACAGTGACACATCCCGGACACACATTCGCCATTCCCATGGCAGTTGCGTGGACAGTCCTGCACCGAATCTGAAAAAGAGAGAAAGTTAGCAACTCCCCTTTCCCCTGCCTGCTGGCACAGCCATGTAATACACAACCATCTAGAGACCAGTGATAGTAAACTCAGATGCCTGTAGGCGACCGGTGAGGAATGCGAGTGAGTAAAGTCAGAGGATACAGAGTGGGGGGGCTAGAACAACTTGGACAGCACATGGAACTAACCATGCGTCTGATCGATCCAGGCAGGAATGCAGGGCTGGTATTGCTGTAGTCTTGCTTCCACAGAAAGGAACCATCTTTCTGGATTTAACAACTGCAAATGCTCCTATGTTTGGTTGTTGACAAATCTTTAAACACTGATCTGTTCTCTCCTAATCTCCCCACAAATCACGCCACCAATGTGAGATTTCATATGACATGTAGGCTCTCAGTGTTTAGCCTCAGATAAAGATGCCAATTTTTCCAAAATAAGATCAGTTGCTCATAATTTCATGTTTGTAGAGAAAAAAACAGTCCCTGCTTTAAGGGATTCTAATACAAAGTAATCCAAATAAAGTCATGCACCACAAAACAATGTTTTGGTCAATGATGAGCCGCATAAACAATACAATGCCATTTTGGTCGATGATGGACAGAGCATGTCGTGTGGCCGAGCTCTGGAGCAGGCTCTGGCATCTGGGTTCGTGTCAGCTCCCTCTGTGGTGCTCCCACAATGATGAGGTTGCCTAATGATGCATTTCTCAGAAGCAACCCACATCACTGAGGGATGCCTGGCAGTGGGAGACTGATACATCTTGGCATGACTCTGGAGTTCTCTAACTAGTAGCTTTTTGGTAACACAAAAGCCCTCTGATGCTTAGCTCTTGTGGATCTTATTTTTTCACGAAAACCACCAAGTTGCAGTTGCTCTAGCCTGCATCAGCATCATACACTTCAAGATGTGCCTCTCTATGTGTGCAGCCAAGCAATACCTTCTCAGGGGTCACTGGGAACCTTTTCCACGTGGATTTGGGTCTGTACAGAAATGGACATGTTCTTTTAAAACTAGAATCACTCTGAGTGCCCTCCTCTGTGCCTTAAATTAAAACAAAACCTTTACACTCCAGGTGAGGAAAAGGAAAAACACAAGCCCCCGTGCCTGAAATGTGGCATCCGTGTGGCACTGTAACCGTTCCTGATGGCATGAGCTGGGAGTGGCAGAGCAGGTATCTCCTTTAAACCTCAGTTCCTGTTCACACCTACTCTGCCCCCGAAAACTCAAACCGGGCATTTTTGCTTCCTTTCGACTGGGCTTCACTTCTCTGGCCGCTTCTTTGAGAACCAGGCTGTTGTATGTGCTGCTGTCAGTGCGTTTGCTCTTCCACAATCAGAAGAAGACCAGCCATTCCATCAAGCCAGCTTCCCTAACATGCAGGCTCAAACACCTTGCAGCTGGCTGGGGAAGGGGGGATGGGCGGTGTCCACACGGGGACCCATTTGTTTCCTCTGTTCCCCATTCATCCCGCAAGCAAAGGTGCTTGGGTAGACCAAACACCAGCAGCTGGGAGACAGTCCTCCCCGTGTCTCTCACTGAGAGTCCTGGCTATGTTTCCAAGGCTGTCTGTATGGGGCAAGGCCTTGAGACACAGAAACAGTGGCCTCTGTCCAGAGCAAATGACAGGGTCACCCAGCCTCCAGGGTCATGGAGACAATGTCTTCCTCTGCCTACTGGTCAGGCTCAGTAAGCTCAGGGTTTCTCGTCTGAGATGTGCCCACCTGCCTATGCAGGCATCAACTGGCCCTCTTAATATCTCCCTGTGGGAATCAGGGTGCAGGCAACAGGCACATGTACTAATACTGTGGATATTGCTTTGCTCTGAGGGATAAAGTTCCTTGTTTCTGACCCAACAGCTTCCTATCTTCTGATGACTTCGCAACATTATGGAAGGCTAACATGTCAGCTTATAATTGGAGTAAGGCCTCAGATCTGCTACAGGGCTTGATGTACGGTTCAATCTATTAGCTGAACACCTATATGCAAGGCTTTGGAGATACCACAGTGAATAAGACAGCCACAGTCCCTGCCCTCAGAGAACTTTCCACTGGCGTAGAGAATACAGGCTGGAGGGAAATAATCAAGTGAACAAGCAGAACTTGTGATAAGTGCTTTGAGAATAGAATACCTGGAGAGCAGGTAAGTGGAGGAAGCTGCTTAGATAGGTTGGTCAGCAAGGGTCTCTCTATTCTATGCAGGTGACCCAGAAGGATGAGCTGGAATAGGCTAGTGAAAGTTTGAGAAAAGAGGAGTGGCTTATGCCAAGGCCCTGGGGTTGGAAAGAATGGGAATGAATCCAGAGTGGCCGAAGAGTAGCTAGCAAGGTGGGCAGGGCTGTAAGATGAGAGTGGGAGCAGATCTTCCCAGACCCTGCAGGGCAAGCAGATGAGAGGGACTTGACTTTGGGACTACCGGGAACAAATGGAAACTTTATTTTTTTTTTTTTTTTTTTTTTTAACTTTTATTTAATGAATATACGTTTCCAAAGTACGAATAATGGATTACTATGGCTTCCCCCCCATACCGTCCCACCCACATCCCTCCCCTTTCCCACTCCCTCTCCCCTTCCATTCACATCAAGATTCATTTTCGATTATCTTAATATACAGAAGATCAGCTTAGTATACATTAAGTAAGGATTTCAACAGTTTGCTCCCACACAGAAACATAAAGTGAAAAATAATAGATGATTTTTTTTAATGATGATGAAATCAGATCAGACCTATTGTCATGTTTAATCCCAGTGAGAGTCAAGTTGGGAGTTGATAGTTTCTTTTCTTTTCTTTTCTTTTTCTTTTTTTTTTTTTTTTATTTTTTTTTACAGAGGATCAGTTTAGTATGCATTAAGTAAAGATTTCAACAGTTTGCACCCCCATAGAAACACAAAGTGAAATATATTATTTGAGTACTCATTATAGCATTAAATCTCAATGCACAGCACACTAAGGACAGAGATCCTACATGAGGAGTAAGTGCACAGTGACTCCTGTTGTTGACTTTACCAATTGACACTCCTGTCTATGGCATCAGTAATCTCCCTATGCTCCAGTCATGAGTTTCCAAGGCTATGGAAGCCCCTTGAGTTCTCCGACTCTTATCTTGTTTAGACAAGGTCATAGTCAATGTGGAGGTTCTCTCCTCCCTTCAGAGAAAGGTACCTCCTTCTTTGAAGACCTGTTCTTTCCACTGAGATCTCACTCACAGAGATCTTTTGCCAGAGTGTCTTGGCTTTCCATGCCTGAAATACTCTCATGGGCTTTTCAGCCAGATCTGAATGCCTTTAGGGCTGATTGACAAATGGAAACTTTAAACAGAGGAACAGCACCACCCATCTTGCAGTTTTTGAAGCCCCTCTGACAGTAAGGTAGAGATGCTTCTCGAGGAGCCTTGGACTTTGCGGATGGTCTGTGAGGCCCGAGCACCCAGTCCTCAAACCTCACATCTTCAGAGATAAAGCAGTGAAGGTCCAGGGAGCTCTTGGCCACCGCAGTCCCAAGGAACAGAACGAAGCCTCTGCACAGGCTCCTGGGCTGGCTGGAAGCCTTCCCTGAGACACTCCTCCTCACGTCTCCGTCTAGGGAGCGCTGAGCTCCTGGCCACCACAACCTGGATTCTGTGCCACTGTCTCCTGGTTCCTGTAATCCCTACAGTTGACTTTTGACAGAGCTCTCTTCTCCCATCAAGCTCCCAGAGCAAGACACCAGCTCGGAATTGTCCTCTGGGGTATTCTCAGTGCCTGGCTCCTACGTGCATAGTTATGGAAGTGTGCTTATGAGTATGTGTACACACATGCAGAGGAGACCGGAGAATTCAAGATAAGCAAAAACTGGGATAAACAGTAGTGCCATTTTGTTTTCCCAAGGTCTTCTATTTGAAGCATTTCTGTAGTTTTTGAGGGCAAAAACAATTATGAGGTATGAGTGAAATACAAAAGAACTCCCCTTCCTTAACATCCAGTGGAGTATCACCCCTGGGAGAGGACTCAGTGTCCCTTTTGTCCCCCTGGGTGTAAGTTTCCTTGAGGAGAAAGTGCCAGGAGGCAAGCGGAAGGGGGCTAGCGCTGGGTTCCACACTGCCACTTGGCCACCCTCAGAGACGCGACTCATTTCCCAAAGCAGGCTGTTTCTCTCCCAGACACATGGCGAGCCTTCCCTGAGTCGAGGGCGCACTGAGTGTGACGGTGAGCTGGCACCCGTCTCACAGTCTCCCACGACAGGGGTCTCTGTGGCTCCCACTGCCCTCGATGGGGGAATGTTGTGATGATGGGTACGTGTGGGAGAAGCTTTGAGCCAAATAAACACTGTTCTTTCCCCTGCATTTCACGCCAATTACTATCATTGCTCTATCAAGACGTCTGCCCAACTATTAGGCCGATTACCTTTGACATTCTCTTTGAGCTACAGTCCAGACAGGAGGAATCCACTTGGGAGAATTGCTATTCCCAGCTCCATCAGCGAGTAAGGGTAATGGCCTGGGGGAAGGGACTCTCACTACCACAATGTCTACGTCTTTTTGGGTAAAAGCAGAGGAGGGCAGAGACCACTATTAGAGAATCTGGCATCCTGAAAACCTGCTGCTGAGGGGCAGGGATTTCTGTGTGTGGAATCTGAAGAAATCCAGGGGCAGGGCATAGGCTCCAGAAGGGAGGAATCCTAACTTCACCTCTTGCAGGCTGTATGCGACCCTGGACAGGTTGTTGAACTCCTCTTAGCCTTGACTTTCTCAACTGGAAAATGGAGAATTAGGTAGAGTACCCACCGCGGATGGCCACCCAGAAGTTGGCGGAGCTAATGGACACAAAAGGTATCACACAGGGGCTGGCACTGAACGTTCTGTAACGTGCAGTTGTTATTGTTGTTATTAACCATTTCACTGAATCCTTGGAGACCTGGGATGCCAGCTGCAGGGTGTGCTGTGTGCTGTCATGTACCTGTCAAGCCTTCTGAGTTTAAACACAAGGTGACAAAAAGGAAGACATTTCTCTTCATGTTCTTAAACTAATGATTCAAAAAAATCTCAACAGCTCAAACTACTTCCAAATTTGATTCTAGTTTCTTCCTTTTGCAAACTGGTCTCTACTCTTTTATTTTTCCTCTTTGATACCTGCCCTGATCTATAGCCCAGAGAAGTCCCTTCAGTGGAATGCTTCTCTAGTGACTTAAATTATGCAAAGTCTGTGATATGACTTTAGGGTAGGGGTTGGCAAACTTTTCCTGTAGAGGGACAGATAGGAACTATTTAGGTTTTGCGGCCCATATGGTCTCCGTTGCAAATACTCAACTCTGCCATTACAGTGGGAAAGCTGCCACGGACAATATGTAAACAGATGAATGTGGCTGTGTTCCAATAAAACTTTATTTATAAAAACAGGCAGTGGGCCAGATTTGGCCTATGGACTATAGTGTGCCAACTCTTACTTTTGAGCATTTGGTTAGCTTTGATGGGGCCAATTTTTCTGTAGCAGAGGGAGTAAGGATTGACTTCAATCCTATGGTCAGCATGAACATTCTATGTGGTTTTATTCCAATCTGAAGTTGCAGCCATTGGAGAAGAATTGCCACCTGAATTTCAAGCTGTTATACACACAACTTTTGAGAATCAGGGAGACCCTCAGAAACCCCCCCCGGGCCAATAGAGAAGTTCTTAAAATGCAATAAATAGGAAAACAGGTATACAATATGCACGCCAAAAAAAAAATCGCTGTCTCTCCTTTGGTGACCCCCAACTCCATGTCAGTCAAGTTCCTGGCACTGCAATAGTTGTGTCATCTCTTGCTTCATGGGCATGGTCACTCCCTTATATTATATTATATTATATTATATTATATTATATTTATTTATTTTGACAGGCAGAGTGGACAGTGAGAGAGAGAGACAGAGAGAAAGGTCTTCCTTTTGCCGTTGGTTCACCCTCCGATGGCCGCTGCAGCCGGCGCACCACGCTGATCCGATGGCAGGAGCCAGGTACTTATCCTGGTCTCCCATGGGGTGCAGGGCCCAAGCCCTTGGGCCATCCTCCACTGCACTCCCGTGCCACAGCAGAGAGCTGGCCTGGAAGAGGGGCAACCGGGACAGAATCCGGCGCCCCGACCGGGACTAGAACCCGGTGTGCCGGCGCCACAAGGCAGAGGATTAGCCTAGTGAGCCGTGGCGCCGGCCAGGTCATTCCCTTTTACAGATGATGAAACTGAGGCTCGGGGAGATCAGATGATGTGCCCAGTGACGACGTGGGGAAGAAAATCGGGCTTTCATCCTGGAGCCAGCAGATCTTTCCTCACGAACCCTCCCTCTAAGCTTTGCCAGTGAAATCTTGAGACCCACCGCTACAAGCTACCAGGACAACATGACGCTGTAGGAAGGCAGCGGACAAGACCTAGAAGCTCACGACCAGTCCATCATTTGCTCGGCCTGAAACTTTGCGAGATGTCACTTTCCGACCCTCACTTTGCTTCTCTGTGAAGCGGGTCTAACAACCTGTTTTGATTCACAGAGGTTCTGCCCAGGATCAGCTGTTATTATCAGGAAGCAGATGAAGACTCAATGATAATAGAACCTTAACAAGAATGCATTCTGTGACGGACAAAATCTCTAGGGTTTGTTGCAGAAACCACCACCAAATCTTCCCAAGCTAATGATCATTTTAGGGGTTTGCATGCGCATAGAAGAGGAGATTCTGGAAGAAACTTTAACTTTTCTCTTGATACCTAATACAAAGCAGGGCTAACACATACCCCCAATGTACAACTGCTTAATTAAAGCAATTTACCTATTTGAGAATGATACGATTTTTTTCAAAGGTTGCTATTCTTTCCCTGGTTTATATTTATATTTTGAAAAACTGCGAAGTTTCCCTCTGTGTTGTAGAGAAGTTCTGAACGGATGAGGGTGACCAGTATTTATCAGCTCTACCACTTATTCACAGTTTTATAGATGTATCCAACTCTCACAAGAGCTGTATGAGGTGGGTTCTAACTAGAGTTTAATTTTCTATGATGCAATTGAGGCTTTTCAAAGTTCAGTGATTTTCCTAGATTTTGAGGCCAGAACGTCACCCAAACAGTCTGACCCAAATACTTAGCCAAGGTTGAACCCTTGGGATTAAGTGTGGCGCTTTCATGGTTTAAACAGTCCTCATTTTCTAAAAGTGCTTGTTTCAGGTGGATGCCCATATGAGACCAACACCAAGGTTCTGGCCTGGCTTTCTCAGCTATAGGAGCCTCCTCAGAAGATGTGCCCCTTGTGTAGAAGCCCAGGAGAGACCTACCCTTCCCTCCATGGGGCAGCAGTCCAGACAGCCCACACTTACCTAGAACAACGGTGTTGAAGGAAACCATCTCTTTGTCTTTGCCATCATTGTAGAAGGCCAGGTGCCACAGGCCCACGTCCAGGTACTGCACAAACACAGCTTCGTTTTGAACCAGGGTCTGGATGCTCCGGCGCTCCCTGGGCGACTCCACCACGCTCCACTTCTCCTTTCCATCCAAACGCTCCATGAAGTCATACTAGGAAAGGGGAGAGAGTGCCACATGTGAGACAGGCGCAGACCTGGCCTCAAACAGTCACCTTTCCCTGTATCCATCACTTCACCGAAGAGTACTTTTTAGCATATTTTACTATGAGCTCATCCAGTAAAACAAACCATTAGAGTTACAGCAATGATAAGAGCTATTAGTGTGGGGGGGGCATTTGGTGTGGCAATTAAGATGTTGCTTGGAACACCTGCATCCCATACAGGCGTGCCTGGAATTGAGTCCTGGCTCTACCACTGAGTCCTGCTTCCCACTGATAGGTGCCCTGGAAGACAGCAGGTCATGGCTCAAATGGTTGTGTCTGTACCACCCGCATGGGAGATCCAAATTAAGCTCCTGGCTCCCAGCGTCAGCCTGGCCCAGACCTGGATGTTGCAGGTATTTTGGGAGTGAAACAGCAGGTGGGAGACTTCTTTCTTTCTTTCTGCCTTTTAAATACAGAAAAATAAAAAATAATTTAAATGATAAGAACTACATTTTATTATATTTACAATGATCAGTTCTGTTACTATAGGCCAATCTATTACCAGCAGTTCTGAAATCCCAAATCCTTTTACTCAGGGTTTTTTTTTCCTTTGTGTCTGCCTGTGTGTAAGATAGTGTCATTGGGGCCCGTGGTACTGCATCCCATAAAGGTGCTCGTTCAAGTCCTGGCTGCTCCTCTTCTGATCAGCTTCCGGCTGATGCGCCTGGGAAAGCAGCACAACATGGCCCAAGTGCACCCACGTGGGAGATCTGGAAGAAGCTCCAGGCTCCTGGCTTCAGCCTGGACTAGCCTCAGCTGTTGTGGCCATTTGGGGAGTGAACGTGGATGGAAAATGTCTCTCTGTCCCCCCGTCTTTCTCTCTCCCTATAACTCTGCCTTTCAAATAAACAAATAAATCTTTTAAAAAAAAGTTCTATAAAAGAGAAAAGCTAGTGTTGTTGCTCCCATGCCCACTGGGTTGATAGAGACTCCATCCCACACGCCAAGTATAACTTCTGTATAACTCTCCAACTGATGAGATCCAAATTGCAGAGCTTCAGAGAAGGAACCATGGCTCACACTATTGGCTACCAATGATCAGTTACAAAGAGAAGATGGGACAGCACAGGGCTGAAAATGGGGGCTGTGGATCTAGACTGACTAGGAGAGAATCCTGGCTGTGCCCCTTCCTAGCTTCAACCACCTATGCCTCAGTTTCTCCATCTGTAGAACTGTGAAAATACTAGTATCCATGCCATAGGGTGAGCGTAAGGATTAAGACAACATTCAGAATAGAAGGCACAAAACACACGTTAATCATCACCATTCCATCCAAATCTTGAGCACATGCTATCTGGGGACCCATTTTGACACTCTATGTAATCATACTTCCCAGAGAAGGAAACTGAGGCTCTGAGAGCAAAGCAATTTGTCCAACACCACACAACTCCTAAGTGGCCAAGCAATGTCCACGCTCTCAGAGTGCCTGCTCTCAGATAAACCAGCAACTAGAAGTTAAACTGTTTCAGTGGAAACCAGGTTCAGAACAGGAAGTGATAAGTGAGCAAGGCACTGGTCAGCTAAGGCAACCCGGACGGGGCATGGGGAGAGCAAATGCAACCCAAGGAGACCCGTTCTACGTAACAGGGGAAGCTCAGTGGCAGGCAAGTGGGAGCCACTGCAGATTCTGGAGCAGTGACTTCCGTGAGGAAAGGCACGTTTTTGAGGAGCTGTTTTTTGCATGCAGGATATGAGATGTTCTCTGTGGGAGAATAAGAGCAAATAGGAAAACCAGTTAGGAAGTGCCTGGGGCTAAGGGCTGGACTAGGACAGTGAAAGAGAAGAGAAAACTGTGGAGGGACATTTCCAAGGAAGAGAGGACAGGGCTTGGCCACGGGCTGAACAGAGAGAATGAAGGAGCAGGCAACAGGGACATCCATGTTTCTTCCTTGTTGACAAGGAAATCGATAAAATCCCAGTAGAAAAGGACTCATCTGGTGAATACTTCCAAAATCACTGCATAGAAATGGGACTTGCACTCTGACTGCCACGGAACATTTCAAGTGAAGGTCTGTAGCAGATAAAAACCAGCACTGTGGATTTCCGCTCTCTCCCCACTCTGCCCTCCATAAAAAGGGTGGTCAGGGTTACAGACATCCACTATAACCCCTTTCACAAACTTCACAGAATAAAACTCCAGGAATCTCCTAATGTGACTTCCCCATCATCAGCATTGCCAGTTTTTCCATCTGAAATGGGATCCTTGAAAACAAAAGAGTCTATAATGTTAAACACAAAGGACTTGCCACCAGACCAACCTGGGTTTGAATTCTGACTCTGCTACTGGGTATTGTTTGATGTTGGGCGAATCTATTTTTACCTACTTGCAGATTTTCATACAGGGGAATAATAGCACTTAACTTTCAGGAATGTATAACAGGAAGGGATGACACGAGATAACATGTAGGGCAATGCGTGGAAGATAATCACCACTTTTTAAGTCACCTACTTGCAAATGGTAATGATCAGAGGCAAGAAGTGCACGGCTCCAGCTTCTCATGTGGGGAGTTGGAGATGGCCAATGCCAAAGAAGTCAAAATTTTCCCTGTATTTCAGGAGATGAGTGTTTGTGCTTAGCTTCCCTCTACCCTATATTCCATTGGTCACAGCTGTCTTTATGGGCTCAAATAAATGATTTGAAGCGATATGACAAACTGATGCTGCCTTCGGAGACCTTTGTAACCAAAGCATTTGTTCCTTAGCAACCTCGTAAATGTCCAGCTACAAAGACCCATGTCTACAAATTGCTGTCAGCCAGAGGAATGGCTCTAACTTCCTTGGTGCTGAGGTGAGAAGAATATACTTCATTTGGGGTCCAAGTGATCACCCCCAGGAGGAAAAGTTTGGGGAAGGTGATTACTTGTGTGGGGCCATTGCTCACTACTAATTTGAGCATCAGTCATCACTGGCTGAACTGGCTTTCCAGCCAAGGGACACAGAAATGGCTTTGGCGCAGGGGCAGCGCTCGCTACCCAACCAATCAAATTATTCTGGGAAAAGGCATTTTTCAGAGGAAGAGGGGACAGGTGTTTTGGCTGCTCCTCAGAGCTCCTCCACACCAGCATGTCAGAGAGTTTCCATCGATGCTGGAATTTGCTAGCCGGAGTGGGGGCATTCTCAGAGCAGGTGCTTCCTGGGACGTGTGGTTGTGATATGAAACCTGGGTGTCGATATGTCTCAGGCCTATATGCCTTTATTGCACTTCATTGTTCTCCAAGCACCTGCAAAAATGTTGTAACTTTATGTTTGCTGTGGTTCCACCCAGAAGAATGTAATCTCCAGGATGTGGGGACGCCTTGTGCATGGGTAGAATAGCTCAAAGTGAGGACCTCAGGGCTCGCCTGCCTGGGTTAGAGTTCTCACTCTGCCACTCACTTGCTGGGGCACTTACAGAGGCTATTGAAATTCTCTGTGCCTCCATCTCCTTATCTTTAAAGTGAGGATAATGATAGTATCCATCTCCAATCCTTGCGGTAAGGATTAAATGAGTCAATACATGCAAAGTGCTTAGAATTGTAAGGATTCTGTACATGGTAAAGACGCCTTAAACACTTCTCTGGTCAGTATTATAACTCCCTGCTGTAGCAAATTCACCCAGAGCACAATCTGACCAATAAATATTTGTTGAATATCAAATGAATAAAATACTGAATTTGTAAACGAACTCTACGAAAAGGACACTAAATTGGAACGTAGTGAAGGGTTTGTCTCTAATAGTCATCACGTGCATTCTAAAGAGCTTTCTTAATGGGAGAGAGTCAGCAAGTGCAAAATGTGCCTGTGGTGGGAGCTGCGGCCAAGGTGCTTGCAAATTCCTATCCCAGCACCAAGGCTTCAGAAATACTATTCCAGTGCTGAGGGGTGGATGTATAACATGTGCCTCCTTCCCAGCCCCTCTGCAGCCACGTGGGAACAGGTGACAGTGGTGTGGGCCATGGAACCCAAGCTGTGGGATGCATTCCACTTCTAAACCCTGCCAGCAAGGGTTCTGTACAATCTCTTTGGAGTTTTCCTTCCATCCCCAGCTGCCTCTGGAGGGTGCCCAGGCTATCAGCATGCCCAAGATGGTGAAGCCACAAGCTAGGAATGGCCTGGATCCTAGAATCAGCTCTTGGATGAGAGCCTGAAGTGGCGTCACCAGCAGTCCACAAAAGCTTACTACGTTAAGTCTCCGAAATGCTGAGATTCGTTACGTCTGCATAGTTTTCTCACATTTCTTCATTTCACACCTTTCTTTATTCCCATTGTTTTCTCCAAGATCGTAATAAGCTCTGGGATATTTCCCACTTCTTTTTAAAGTATTTATTTATTTGAAAGTCAGAGTTACACAGAGAGAGGAGAAGCAGAGAGAGAGAGAGAGAGAGAGAGAGGTCTTCCTTCTGATGGTTCACTCTCCAGATAACCGCAATGGCCGGAGCTGTGCCAATCCAAAGCCAGGAGCCAGGAGTTTCTTCTTGTCTCCCACGCAGGTACAGGAGCCCAAGGACTTGGGCCATCTTCCACTGCTTTCCCAGGCCACAGCAGAGAGCTGGATGGGAAGTGGAGCATCTGGGTCTCGAACTGGCACCCATATAGGATACCGGTGCTTCAGGCCAGGGCATTAACCCACTGCGCCACAGCACTGGCCCGATTTTTTTCTATTTCTTACAGGAGAAGAGGAGAGAATCACCCAGGAAAATTATGGCAATGTCTTACTTTGGTCAAATTCCAACTTGACAACACTGAGTGTCTCTATTTAATCCTAGTTTGCCTAGGAGTGGCCAAGTTTAAACCTCCTGTTCCTCCTTATGGTTTCCAAAGTGCTCTAGTGTGGAATACATGACAATTGTACTCACAGGTTAACACACACCAAGCAGCATCATGTGTTAACAGTTCTTGCTGCTATAACCTGGGGGAGGATTGGAGCAGAAACACAGGGCAGACTGGCCAAGCCAAGCGTGGAGGCTGC